TGAGACAATCTTAAGCTGTCATCCTGGGTAGAATGCCATGGCATCATAGCTCACAGCAACCTCAAGCGATCATCTTGCCTCAGTTTTTCTATTTTTAGTAGAGATGGAGGGTCTTGTTTTTGCTCAGGCTGGTCTTGAACTCGTGAGCTCAAGCAACCCACCTGCCTCGGCCTCCCAAAGGGCTGGGATTACAGGCATAAGGCACTGCGCCTGTTTGAAGTGCCTTTTTAAAAAGAGCTTAAACTTTCCCTGAGCCAAGTGACTCCAAGAAGCAGGAAGATCCTCCTTTAGGCCTTGACAAAATAAGTTGCAATGTTGTGTGAGGGTTGAGGAGACCCTGCAGGAGTCATGTGGCAAGAAACTGTGAGCAACCCTTAGAAATCTTGAGTGGCAGCTGGCAGCTAGTAAGAGAATAGGGACATACCTCCATCCTGTAATCAAAAGGAACTGAATTCTGCCCACAAACATGTGAATTTGGGTAATGATGCTAAGCTCAGAAAAACAAACAAACAACAACAAAAAAAGAAAACAGGGCCAGGCACAGTGGTTCACGCCTGTAATCCTAGCACTCTGGGAAGCTGAGGTGGATGGATTGCCTGAGCTCAGGAGTTCCAGACCAGCCTGAGCAATAGTGAGACCCCCATCTCTAAAAATACCCACTTGCTATGGCAAGCGCCTATAGTCCCACTGCCTTGGGAGGCTGAAGCAAGAGGATCACTTGAGCCCAGAAGTTTGAGGTTGCCGTGAGCTATGATGCCACAGCATTCTACTGTGGGCAACAAAGTGAGACTCTGTCTCGAAAAAACAAAACAAAAAACAAACCCATAAAATAAAAAACCAGGCAAGTGGGACATTTGGTTGCTGCCTTGAGAACTTCGACAGAGACCCAGATAAGGCTTGCCTAAATCCCTGCGTGGCATGCCTAAATCCCTGCCAGGTGGAGACTGAAACAATAAATGCATACTGTCTGAAGCTGCTAAGTTTGTGGCAATTTGTTATGCAGGAATAGAAGATAACCAATGTATCAGCATGTGGGTGTTTTAAAAGCCTTGTAACCAAGATGGTTCAAACCACCCAGGCAAGGGACATGACCCAGCAGAGTCAATACTGCAAGAACAGAGTGAGACTGGAGTGGAATACACCCTGATCCCCACCCGCAACTGCACAGAACCTGAGTTCTACTCTTCTCAGCCACTAGGTGTCCCCAGAGTTCCCACAGGCAGGTGTCTCCCCCACCTTTCAGATCGGCTTCTGAAATGGGAGAAACCAAAATGAGACCGCCCCTCTTCTGGTCCTCTTGCCCTCCCCCACTTTATACATGGGGCAACTGCGGCCAGCAAGGAGGAAGAACCCTGACCAAGGTCCCACAGCTCCAGCACCATCTCAGGTCAGGCATTTTGCCCTCCCCTTGCTCTTGTCTCCCTCCCAGGCCATTATGAAGGTCGAACCCAGATGATCACCTTTTCCCTCACTCCCTCCTGCTTTTTACCAGGGGAGGGATTGTGAGAATGGCAACAGCTGACAGGTATAGCCCCGCCCTTTCACCAGAGCTAGTGAAGGGAAGAGACTTCTGAGACTGGGGGCTACCCAAAGGGAGGGGCCTAGTGCAGTAGCTGGGCCAGTGACCCTCTGTTCCACCCCTTGAGTCCTCCGCTGCAGATGGGGCTTCTCCAGAAGCAGACACAGAGACTGAGTTTGGGCTGCAAGATGTTTATTAGGGATGAATACCTGTGAAAAGAAGAGGAAGCAGGAATGGGCACAGGAAAAAGGCAAACTGTGCTGTAGGCCTGACAATGCCCCTGGCTGCCCTGAGTGAGTGAGGGCTGGGGACCTGCCCCAAGTACTGCCTGTCAGTGTCCGTCCCACACATGGGAGTGCAGAGGCCAGGGGTTTCTACCATGCCTTGCTCAGACACCAGACACTGCCCAGGGAAGGGAAGGGCGTGGCCTAGGGCAAAGTGGCTCTCTGCAGCTGAGGAAGTCCTTCTTTGAAGGGGCCTTCTAAATGGCACATACCCTGTCTCCCATGCCTTCTCAACTCTACTTCTTACAGTTTATTTTTTATTTTGACAGCTTGCTTCCAACCAGAGCCTGAGAGGAAGCTGTCATTGTCACCCCACACTCAGCCTTGGCTCTTACTGGGAAAACAGAGGCTTTGTCCCAGCTTAGGAATTCACTGGATCTGGCAGAAGAATAATTAGGGGGACAAAAGAGGGGGAAGCCTTGGTCTCACTTTCCAAAATACAATGATCAGAGACTCAAAGACAGGAATTGTGGCTTCCACTGCTCTTTGGTCATTTAAAAAATCTACACTGCAGGTCAATGTGTGTTAGGCACTGGGGCCAACCCTACCACCCATGGTGCCTACCACCACCTGCAGATTCAGAGACAGACAGCACCCTGAAGTAACACTTCAGCAGGAGGCAGAAGCAAGATTCTGGGCCCTGTCTCTGACCTTGGCTGCTTACAGTACTTACAGGCCCTTCTGTAAGCTGCTTCACCACCTGGCTGTTTCCTCCTCTGGACAATGGAGTAATAAAATCTATGGAGCACCACGTTAAATGCCTCTCACCTCAAACATTTCATCCTGGGAAGCAGGTACTATCATCCCCATGTTATACATATGGAAAGAAGAGTTGGGACAAAGTTAATTTGCTCAAGGTCACATAGATGCTCAGTGGTGGAGCTGGACTTTGAGCCCAGTGTGGCCCAACCCTGCTTCTTAATCCTCATTAAGGGCAGGGTCAAACTGGACCCCTTGGACTAGACCTGCCTGCACATTTGTTTCATGTGGCCCACAGAGATTTAAAAATATTTGAGTCAGCTTTCATTTGGAAATTAAGATGACTCATAAACATCCCTATCTCTAGGTTCTCTTTGGGCCTGGGAAAGAGGAAAAATCTGGCTGTCTGGCCACTGTGGACGGCATTCCCACAGGATCATCATGCCATTGTCCACTCAGACTCATTTGTTTATGGCCCCTACAGGGGGTGAATTTGCTACCCTTAATGAAGGTCAGGAAGTCCTGAGACAGAGACCTAGAGAGGCCAGCTTGCCCTGGGACAGCTTGGACCTAAACCACATGGACTCAAATCTGGCCAACTGTTTGGGGAAGATTCAGGAAAAGCACAGACATGCAGAACCACAGGGCAAGGTCGGGGCAAATACACTTTATTCAGTCCTGGCATCAGACTGGCGGAAGTCCTGCTGTGGGTGCCAGCGCCCCAGACGGAGGGACCCCTCCCCTTAGCTACGAGACTAGTTCTCCAAGACCACAGACAGTGACATCTTTTCACTCACATGACGTTTTCTGTTTTTTTCAATGTCTTTTTGTTGTTGTTTTTCTTAAAAAAAAAAAAAAAAAAAGAGAAAGAGAGAGAAAGAAAGAGCGCAAGAAAGGCCCAGAGCCGGAGCACCAAGCTTAAAGGAGGCAGCTGGTGGCTTTGTCAGCGACGGGAACGCGTGGGGCAGAGACCTGCAGAGACCCTGGGCAGGGGTCCCGGAGGACTCTGGGACCGTTTGTTCCTGAGATTTGTGTGTGTGAATGAGTGTGTGTGGACCACCCGGGAGGGTGAACACACGCCGGTGTGATACAGGTAGTGAGGGTAAAGGGGGTGTGGGGAGGCCGGAGGGGCGGGGCTTGAGTGGGGAGATGCAGTCAGAGGGGTAACAGCATCAGAGGCAGGGATCCCCAGGGCACCCTGAACTGGGCACAACTTCCTTACAGCAGCACTATGCCCATTTTTCACATGGAAAAACTGAGGTGCAAATAGCCCATCAGTCTCATTGGCCCGGTTAATGAACTCTTCCTGTCACCCATGTACTATCATGTCTCAATCCCAAACCCCTAGCACGGATGTGCCTCAGTTTCTCCCGCTGAATACTGCCTGCAGCTGTGGGAATGAGGGTGGACTTGGGTGACAGGAAGGGACCCAGGTTGAGAGGGCGCCTTGAGGTAACAGGGCACTTCCAGGAGGTGGGGAGGGAGCAGCAAAGGCCCTGTCCCCAAACAGACTGGTAGGTGTCTTGGTTCTGAATTTTCTTGGATAGTTCCTTTCTCTACTGACAATTCCAGAGAAAGACCCTACCCCCAAGTCCCAGTTGGGGAAAGAAAGGGACGTTCCTGAGGACCAAGATAGGCTGTAGAGGCAGTCACGCAGTCGGGGGAATGGGGGAGGTGCGCGCGTAGATGTGGGCGACCCCATAGGGTAAAGGGGGTATGCCACTTGGAAAAGTTCCAGGCCCAAACCAACACTTCCGAGCCAGCTAGTCTCTTTCTCCTACTTCCAAGTGCTCCTCCCACTAAGGCAGCGACGCCCCGTCGGGTTGAGAGGAAGCCATGGGCTTTCGGATCAAAGGATTTCTCAGGATCTTCCTACACTTGCCCCCCTTCTTCCCGGAGCAGGAGACAGAGACGTGCTGTTGGACTGGGACCAACCCCCTCCTCCCAAGAATTATTAAGCATGCGCAAGAAGAGGGTGGGTCCCAGAGGGGGGCGGGCCCTAACGCACCCGGGATAAAAGAGCGCGCCCCTCCTCCCCAGGAGGGGCGGGGCAAAGTAGGAGCGCGCGGTTCAGCCCAGACGCATAGCCCCCCTAACGGAGAAGGCAGGCTGGGCTAGAGAGGAGGGAGAGAGCCAGGAACGGGGGGAGGGGGTGTGTCCTCCGGCCACGAGGAGGGGCGTGTGCAAAATGGGGGAGGGGTGCAGGTCTGTTAGAGGATGGGAGGTGTATTGGAGGGGGGCTGGCTGCTGGTGGCTGTGCGGGAGGGGGCAACATGGAGAGGGGCAGGGATGTCAGGGAAGGCGTGGGGGTTGGGCAGCCTTGGGGTGTGTCTGCGGGGGAGGGGAATGTCTGGATTTGAGGGGGGATGGGCACGTCCAGGAGGGGGGAGGCTGCGCGGGAGATGGGGTGCCAGCCTCGGCCTCCGAGGGGCCCCAATACCTGATTCCTGTATGTAAACAGCTGGTTTGGGGGCGTGCGCGCCCCGCTGACGGTGGGCTCAGTAGGTGAAAACCAGGTCGGCGATGCTAGACGGGCGCCAGTCCCCTGCAATCATCTCGGTAACCTCGGGGGTGCAGTAGTCCGGGAACTCGAAGTGCGACGTGCCCGATGGGGGCGGCAGGTCCGGGTCGCGGTCCAGGGCACTGCAGTCCAGGCCGGCGGGGCCCGGGGGCAGCCTGGACAGAAAGCCCATCGGCTCCTCCCCTGAGGCCACCGTCTCCTCTTCGCCTTCCTCTACTGCTGCCGCCTCCTCCTCCTCTTCCTCCGGCTCCTCATCTTCCGACGGTATCGGGGAGGCGGCGGTGGCGGCCGCTCCCTCGCCCGACGGCCCTTGGGCACGCTCTGCCTGTCCCCGGGCAGCCCGTCCCGCCGGGACCATCCTCCATAGCTCCCGCCCGGGGGTCTCCACCAAGCGTACTTCCAGCAGCTCCTCGTCGTCGTCGTCCTCATCGTCCTCGGGTGCCGCTGCGCTGCCCCCCAAAGGCCCTCCTGCCGCTCGGCGGCCCCCGCGGCCGGGAAGCTGCGGCCCGGACTTGAGCCTGCTACCGCCACCGCCGCCGCCGGGGGGGCGGGGCCGCGCCTTGGCGGGCGCCCCCTTGCTCTTTTTGCGCGGCCGATACTTGTAGTCCGGGTAATCCGCCATGTGCTTAAGGCGCAGCCGCTCCGCCTCCCGCACAAACGGGATCTTCTCCGAGTCCTGCAGCAGCTGCCAGCGGCGGCCCAGGCGCTTGGAGATCTCGGCGTTGTGCATGTCGGGCCACTGGTCCATGATCTTCCGCCGCTCGTGCTGCGACCATACCATGAACGCGTTCATCGGCCTCTTGATGTGGCCGCTCGGAGTCTTGCACCAGCCAGGCTCACGCGTCCCCTCCTCGGCCGGCCCGGGCCCGGGGGGCGGCTGCCCGCCGTCCCGTTTGGCCCTCGCGCCCCGCTGCTGCACCATCGCGCCTGGGCCCGGGGCCGCTAGACGCCGCCGGGGGCCGTCCGCATCCTCCGCGGCTGGAGGTGGGGGAGGAGGCAGCGGCGACGGAGGGGCGGCCCCGCCCCGCGGCTCGGCCCGGCCCCTGAGAGCTGGGGAGCAAGGAGCTGAGCGCTCGGGCCCAACGGACGGCTGGGGGGAGAAGGTCAGCGGCGCGGTCTCAGGCGGGCTCGGCGCGCCCCCGCCGCCTCCGGCAAGTTGCTCGCTGGCGCACACCACACATTGTTTTGCGGGGGCGGAGGAATCGCACCCCCTCAGGCTCCCGCGGGCTCTTCTTGCAGCCTTGGGCTCCGCCGCGGCCCGCGCGCACAGCTCCCCGCCCCGCCGCCGACGCCTTTCAGTGTCTTTCTCCCCGCGCGGCCCCGGCGGCGCGCGCGCCACCCCTCCCCCTCGCCGTCTGCGGGCCGCTGCGGCGCGCGCGGGGCCGCCCCGTGTAAACACCGAGGTGCCCGCTTGGGCTGCGGCCGGGCCACGCCTCGCACCCTGGCAGCGCGTCACCCGTTGCTGGGCAGAGAACCCGGTATTTGCATCTCCCAATCGCTGGCCGCGGGAGCTGGGCGGGGCTCGGGCTGCGGGGCTAACCGGTCTCTCGGCTGGGATTGGGGGAGACGGATGAGATCGGTTTCTTTTCTTAGGCTGGAGGGAGGGTAGGGGACGCCAAGCGTGCTTCCCATCTGGTTCTGGAAGCTTGTCCCCGGTCCTATTTGCCTTTGAAATTTTATCTTATTCTGTGACACCTGCCGGCCGCCAGGTAGGGTTTCTACCTCCTCTTTTGGGGGTGTCTTTCCGGGCCGTCCCAGAAGAGGATTTGGGGGAAATCAAGACTCAGGAAAGCTTAAGGGGACAGACTCACGTTGTTATAGATATTACTCCCACCTGCTACACACGAGGTCTAGCCACATATGGGCTCAAATGCTTTTGGACCCAACGAATCACTTTCATATGTACATATTTTATCTCGTGTGAGGCACCACAAGAATCTTTTAGAAAGGGAAAAATACGGCCACTTTACAAATATGAAACGACGAGAACACGCAGACTAGAAACCGGTTTCTAGGCTCGCATATTGAGGGGGCGGGACACCAAGACAAGTGTCCCGAGCAGGGCAGATTTCCCGCTATTCACAAGCCTTGGGCAAAATTCGATGATGCGTGAGTGCGGGATTGCCAGATCCTACCCCACCCCGCTGACTGCTCGGTGCCCGCCTTTAGCGCGTCCATCCTCTCAGGTCTGGAGAAGTAAGAAGAGGCAGGGGTGGAGTCAGCTCCGGGGGCGTGGCCGGGTTGCAGGCACTGGGCGCGTGGCGGGGAGGGGCCGAGCCCTCCAGGCTCACCACGTGTGAGCCACTTCGGGCGCCACCCGGCGTGTGCTGTCCCCGGGGGAGGTCACCTTCACCGTGTCGTGAGCACGGGCGGTGGCCGGGAGCGCTGAGGACTCGCAAAAACTGGGAGGGGTCAGGATTAGGGTCTGGAGGGTGGCATTCTGCTGGGGCGTGCGGGCGCAGGGAACGCGCCTCTAGCGGTAGAGCTCATCCATCTCTGGGCCAGTGAAGGCGGAGAACTTGACTCTGTGGAGCAAGGAAGAAAGGCCGGGGTGCGGCTCCGCAGCGCGGAGGACGGGGGATGGGATAGTAATTGGAGCATCCCTGGGGGGAGGGGGCGACTCTTAAAGGCCCCAGGCCCTTGGAAGTAGTAAATTCTGCTCCCATCCAAATGGTCTTTCTGCCTTGGTGGAACCCGAATTCAGGAAATCCCTACGTTTGAAACCTTTGCAGCCGCAGCCTAGGCAGTTCTTTGCCCAATGGAGTCAGAATTCCTGTGTTCATATCCTAGTGCCTGTTTTTGCTTATTCTTAAAATGAGGGATAATGCAGTTTCTCCCACATATGACTGATTTACAGATTAAATGGGATGATGGATGTAACACATCCCTGATAACCTGGTGACTGTTCAATAAAAGTTATCAGGGACTGGAATTCCCAGTAGTTGCAGTGGTCACAAGCAAGGCAGAGACATCAACTAATGAGAAAAAAATTGGCGAGGTGGGAATGGTTTTAACATTTCACAAAAGGTATCAGAGTAGTGATCATGAGAAGATAAAAGCTCTCTTGAAACTTCTAACACCTTCACCCTTTTTCCATTTAATGCTCGTTTCATCATTTTAGTGCTTAGGGCCTCTCAAAGGTCTGTTCTTCACCCTCTAGTTGTTGCTGCTATTGTAATTAATTCCAGTGTATCTGACTAGTTCCTAATCTAATGCCAGATTGATTTGGACTAGGGTTTTCATCTTCATTCTTAGCAGGAAAAATAATACATTCATCATTCTACTACTGCTCCATCCCTTCTCCCATTGTTGCATGCATCATTAATAAACACAATTGTTAATACCCATCATTCCCTAGGTCCTGTGATGGACCCTGGGGAGCATATAGTTGCCAGGACATTAATGACAAGAAGGCATGGGAGTTCAGTTGAGGGAGATACTGGCTTCACTCTTCCCCCTACCCCCTTTTCTTCTTTGGCAGACCCGCGGTATGATTCTGTTTGTACTCCCTGGGAAGGCAGACATTTAATTCAACAATTTTTGAACACCTAGTATATGCCAGGCACTGAACTTGGAATTAGGGCTACTGTCCCTATTCTTGAGGAGCAATTTGACAGCAACAGCAAAGAGCAGGTAAACAAGATAATTTCAGAAATAGCAAGTGCTTTAGTAAAAAAGGTAATGGTAGTGGAAGTGGCTGGACAGGTGGCATGATAGAGATTGGGGGTGGGTTTATGTCTCAAGATGATGAAAAGGAGTCATCCGTGCAAAGATCTTGGGGAAGACCATCCCAGGGAGGGGAAACAACAATTGCAAGGGGCTAGACATGGGGGTGAGATATTAAGAGATATTTAGGACATGGGAAAGCTCCAAGATCAGGGAGTGGGCGGCACCTGTGGCTCAGTGAGTAGGGCTCCGGCCAAGGGTGGCGGGTTCAAACCCGCCCTGGCCAAACTGCAAACCAAAAAAAAATGTAGCTGGGCATTGTGGTGGATGGCTGTAGTCCCAGCTACTTGGGAGGCTGGGACAGGAGAATCGCCTAAGCCTAGGAGTTGGAGATTGCTATGAGCTGTGACTCCACTGCACTCTACTAAGGGCAATAAAATGAGACTCTGTCTTTTTTTTTTTTTTTTTTTTTTTTTGAGACAGAGCCTCAAGCTGTCCCCCTGGGTAGAGTGCCGTGGCATTATAGCTCACAGCAACCTCCAACTCCTGGGCTCAAGCGAGTCTCCTGCCTCCGCCTCCCAAGTAGCTGGGACCACAGGTGCCCGCCACAACGCCTGGCTATTTTTTGGTTGCAGCCGTCATTGTTGTTTGGCGGGTCCAGGCTGGGGATTTGAACCCGCCACCTTAGGTGTACGTGGCTGGCGCCTTAGCCCGTTGAGCTATAGGCGCCAAGCCAAGACTCTGTTTCTTAAAAAAAAGGAAAGAAAGAAAAGAAAACCAAGAGTAGGGAGTGTGGAGTGTACCTGAGGAACAACATGGGTTTGTATCGAATCGAAGCTGGGGCATTGTGGTAATTGGGCCTTAAAAACCAATTCTAAGAATTCTCTGGGCTGTGGGTAACCAGGGAAGGTTTCTTAGTTGAAAGGTGATACAAGAGCTGTGTTTTAGGAAGATTAAAGAGCTCATATGTTCTGGATGGATTGTAGGAGGGAAATTTGGAGGGTGAAAGATCAGCCATAAGTTCTCTGTGTTTCAAAACTATGCCCACAACTTCTTTAATAGTCCTCCATAAAAAGAACACACACAAAAAGAAGCTCGGTGTCTGCAGCTTAGCAGCTAGGGCACCAGCAACATACACCGGAGCTGGCGGGTTTGAACCTAGCCCTGGCCTGCCAAACAACAATGATAACTACAACCAAACAAACAAACAAAAAAAATAGCCAGGTGTTGTGGCAGGTGCCTGTAGTCCCAGCCACTTGGGAGGCTGAGGCAAGAGAATTGCTTAAGCCCAAGAGTTTCAGGTTGCCGTGAGCTTTGATGCCATTGTACTCTACCAAGGGTGACATAGTGAAACTCCGTCTCAAAAAAAAAAAAAAAAAAAGATCCTAGTTATTCTTCCATTAAGTGTGACCTGTACTTGGTGACTGGAAGAATGTGGCAGAAGTGATGGTGTATGACATCTAAGATTAAGACATAAAAGGCTTTATGGTTTCCTCCATGCTGCCTGTCTTATATCATTTATTCTGGAGAAATTCAGCTGCCATGTTGTGAGGACACTCAGGCAGCCTTAGAGAGAGGCCCATGTGGCAAGGAACTAAAGCCTCCTGCCAATAGCCATGTGAGTGAGTGATTTGTCTTGGAGTTGAAGCCTCCAGCCTCAGTCAAGCCTTGGGATGACTGCAGCCCTGGCTCAACTAAACTGCATGAACATTGAGAGACCTTGAACCAGAACCACCAACCAAACTCTTCCCAGATTGATGATCTACATAAACTGAGATGGCAAGATTTTGCTTTATTAAGCCTCTATGTTTGGGAATAATGTATTACACAGCAGTAGATAACTAATACAAGATTATTTACCAGCTGTTGAATTGGGGGGGGGGAAGTTTTCACATCACAAAATGTTCATTGTGTAAAACTTAAAAAATACTCAAATTTAAGGAAAACAAAATATTTGTTGGGATTTATTGTCCTCAATGCTAAGAATTGACCACTATTAACATTTTTTTTTTTGAGTCAGAGTCACACTATGTTACCCTCTATAGAGTGCTGTGTTATCAGATCTCACAGCAACCTCGACTCCAGGGCTTAAGCGATTCTCTTGCCTCAGCATCCCAAGTAGCTGGGACTACAGGTGCCCACCACAACACCTGGCTATTTTTGGTTGCAGTTGTCATTGTTGTTTTAGCTAGCCTGGGCTGGGTTTGAACCCATCAACCTTGGTGTGTGTGGCTGACACCATAACCGCTATACTAT